GAGAGAGGGGAGGCAAAGAAAAAAGAAGCAAGCGTGTAGGTGTGTCGAGGGCAAAGGTACGCCGATAATCCGGCGCTCGGTGTGGGTGGCCTTTCATATTTTAACAAGGTCGAGCGGAGAATTTTAGCAACTGGCGACGACGTGGGTGGCGTTAAAGGGGCCACGTTTCGAGGAAATTGGATTTTGAGGGGGTTTGATTGGATTAAGAGGCGACGACGATAGACACGCGTCCCAGAAAAAGGTAATTTCGTTCATCCGGCTAATAAAGCTAGCACGCTTTTTTCACTCCTTTCTTTCAGAGTTGGTTACTTCGCTCTGTGTGTTTGACGAACGAATCAGCGTGTTCTCTGGCTAGATATCGGGCTAACAATAAGTTTCGTTTGGCACTTTGGATGCTCTCTCCGTAATTTCTTCTTTTTGATCCAAGCGACAGGTAGAACGTGGAGACAAGTAGATCTTCGTGCAATTAAATATTTTTATTAAAGAAACAGAGTATGAGTGAAAATTTATTTTCAGTACTAAATGTTATAGCCAGACTTTTGCCGAATTTTTATGCACTCACAGAAAATTTATGGATATAAAAATGCAGAGAATGCACGGAAATGTGTAAAAATATATGAATAAAATTTAAGATATTTACTAGCGAAATTAAATCTTTATATAGATATCATTGAGCGTGTAAAAATATAAGATTGCGTATATAACAAACACTGTGTTATTGAATTTGAAAAAAAAAAAAACTGTTCAACTATTCAAAGATATTTTCTACGAAAATGATTAATACCATTAACCGTATTCAATATAGAATTTAACCAAGTGTACATCAAAAAAAAAAAAAAATTAATTTACGTTTTACATTAGAAAATTACTTTCCCAAATGTATAAAAACTGCAACAACAAAAACACGAAAAATACGAAGAGTACCAAGCCTGATGAAATAGCTTGATTAAACTTCAAGCCACGATGCTACGTAACTGAATGAAGTTTCCATTGTGCATAGAATAACATCCATTAAATTCGATCGCGCAACGTTCCAGAACGAATCACCGATTTCTGGCGGGTCGCTCTTTAATCAACCTATTTGCACAGGCAACTCGTACGTGGTTCCGTGACTCCAACGACATTAGGCAAGTGTTGTATCAAAGTGAGAAACTATCGTACCGTACTAACACGATCATCAATTGAGAATCCCCCCTCCCCCCGTTTACATTACAATATTACAACAGACTCGCTTCGAACTATTCAATTTGATCGCATAGATGGACAGTTATACGCGACAAACGATGAATAGGGTAATACACTCTGTTTACCCATGATCGGGCTAATTACTAAGAGAGACCTTCGAAAACTTCGTCGATTTTCGCGCGACGCTTTTGTCCGGTCTCTCGACTCCTATGCTAGCCTATTCAAACTCCGGTGAATGCGATACTCTCGGGCGGAAACTACGTGCTCTTTCTACCAGTTAACTTCCATTAATTATCGCTATCAATTTGCGATCAATAGCGCGGACTAGTTATTAGTTCTGGCGGGATGTCGCGAGACTTTGTTTCGACTTTGTTTTTCGAGACGAGTCTTGAAATTCAATTGGATAATTGAATGATAATCTGAATTGTTTGAATTAATTAATAACCAAATAATAATTTCTAGCAGTATGCATGACGCGAGGTGAATAATACGTGTATCGGATCGTTGCAGACAATCAGTGATCAAAGTTTTTCAACTTTCTTATGTCAATATAATGCAAATCAAATTTCGATCCATTTTGATACATGCTAGCAATTGTAGAATGACGATACAATTATTAGTTTAATTAAAATTTGGTTTAAAATCATTCTTCGCAGTGTTCAGTTCTCGATTCGATTATCTTTCCGAGATATATCTTTCTGATGTAAGGCTTCTCTGAAGTCGATCACTATACTCTCTTACATTGAAGTTTCAAGATTTTTTTTTTAAATAAAAAAAAAGCACTCAAACGAACTCAATGTTAATTCAAATTTCGTCCTGACACGTAATCTACCTGTTTTATAACACTGCTGATCTCTCGGAATCCGCGATTCAATGCAACTTAAAAAATAGATATATACAAAGAAGCAAAAGAGAGAAGAAAGAGATTCTCTCTCAACGTCAGAGACTCTAAAAATTCTAAAATACTACGCCGATCC